AAAAAAAAAAAAAAAAAAGCAGGCGCGACGCCACTTTGTCAAAACGCCTCGATCTCCCTTTTTCCTTAAAAGATCATGACCAAATCCACGGACCCTTAAATTTTTAGACTTGTTTACGAGTTTTTCTGAGCGTGAAAAAACTTTGAAATAGGGGTACTTTTCCCGTTGGCCCACAAGTTGTCGTGTGCCAAAAATAGAAAAAGTGACAAATTGGCGCGGCATTTATTTCATGGTCTAAACGATTTTATTTTATTTTGTTGATATTTTTCCTGGAAAGATCACGACCTGGCCTACCCGATATCACATTTTCAGATCTTTTCTCCAATTATTTTACGTACGAAAAATCGCCAAAGTTGGCGCTCGAAAATTGCAAGATTGGACCCACCTACGCCTTCCAGTCGGCGCCCCCCCTAAAAACCCGCCCTAACTCACCACAGGACCTACGTCCACGCCGTTTCAGATTCGAAATTTCAAGGCCCTAATGCCACGGGCAGCTACCGGTCCTGCACTTCCTTGAACTGCCTATTTCCCACGAATTGGACCCCCAACAAATACACCACCCTTCCAACTACCGCACCGTTGAGTGACGACGACGAAAAATGTTCAATGTCTCAATGTCTCGGGGGGGGGAAAACGCAACCCTGACGGGCTGCGAACAACGAAGGGGACGACGGAAACTGTGCCGCCGGTAGGTCCTATGCTGGATCGGTACCGACCTTCAAGTTGTGGCCGTTGGCCTGGGCCTCTACCTCTGGCCTGCCTGAACCGCCGTACCCCTGGCCTACCGGGGCCTCATCTGAACCGTCGTCCACTTAGGCCTACCCTGCCTATCTGAGAACCGGGCCCTAACTGGGGTCGGTGTGGCTCAGAATGCCACAGTGTGATTGTGGGCACTTCTCGGTTGAGGTTTTGCTAGATAGCAAAACAGTACGCAGAGTAGCAAAGCGTGAAGAGGCGAAGCCGCAGGTTGTAGTGGGAATGCACGTTCGTGGTTCATGAGATTGACTTACCGTGAGGGCACGGGTGCGCAACCCGTAGTTCGTTTGTTTATATGGTTCGCGAAGGGTAAGGTAGTGATTATGCTGTATGTATATTTTGTCATGTTCGCAAACACAATTCGAAGAAAGTGTGTGTGGGGGGTCCCGGTTGGTGCTTTATTCACGATCTTCATTGAACGCTGGAGCCAATTTCCAGCAGGCGGCACTCCCCATCAATAGACAGGAGAATGTATGTGCGTGTATATGTGTGTGTGTGTGTATGTGTGTGTGTGTGTGTGTGAGAGAGAGAATGAGAGAGAGAGAGAGAGAGAGAGAGAGAGAGAGAGAGAGAGAAAGAGAGAGAGAGAGCTGCAGCATGCAGCATGTCAGTGGCGGGGAGCACAAGGGCAGGCGCTGACCTCCATCAAAAAGAAGAAGTAATTTTATCGGAATACAATAGTTTTTTCTTTTTTAAATCCGAGTAGAAAGGGTACAGGTTGTATTCAAATACAACGTGTGCGTTTTCTATTCGAGGAACTCTGCTATTCGAGAAAAGTGAACTTGCACCGTTTCAATTTCGAAAAAGGACTGCGGTCTCCTCGGCCTCCTATGCGCAGCTACCGGTCCTACGCGGTCCGGGACCAGCTACCGGTCCTGCAGTTTCAAATAAGATGCCACAAGCCCCTAAACTGCCATGCCTTGTTTTTCCAGCCTTCCAACGACCGTATAATGAACGACGACGAAAAATGTTCTCAAGGGCATAAAACGCACCCCTGACGGACTGCGAAGTGGTAAGTGGTGATTCTCTCACGCTTGTATGTTATGAGTCACAGCTGGCAGTGAAAACCCTGAGCATGTCTTTCGCTATCCGATACCAAAACTCGCATGTCTATCGTTTTTTTTTTTGAAACTAATCATCAACACAATTTCACTTGACTTTGGATAACGTTCAATTTGCTCACGCGTTCTACTAGGATTTAGCTCCCCATTTCTGCACCTGTTTTACTCCCCATGCCTAACAAAACATTGCTATCTATTAACCGTAAAGGTTAGCTACTCCTAAATAATGGTCTGGGACTAACACGGCCCAGAGGAAGACTTCCAGTTCCTAATGACACTCACCTAAGCAGCCCACCGCGGCCCTACTGAACGGAGTGTCCTGGTTCGTGGGTGGCCACTCTGCCTAACCTACAGCACCTCTATGGGACCGAGTGCCCTGATCACTCAGAGGTTCTCTGCCACAGCAGAGGACTTGCCCCTCTAACTCACTAGCCTCCTACTCCATTATCCATTTTGAAACTACTAACCCTCGAACTGAGTGAACTGCAACCAACCGGTTATCTCGCGCCCAGGTACGGAGGAACCAGGTTCTCTGTTTCCTGCTACCTTTCCATGCCCGGGTTTTCCTTCGCCAATCTGCCCTGATGGCGTGTTTGAGGTCGTCCTTGATTCTACTCTTGATCTCAGCATCCGACAAGGGGCGTTTCTCAAATCTCGCCCTGTTTCTATCTGCCCGAACAGAAAAATTCCCATGAGAAATGAAAGTTGAAAAAACATTCCATAAAAAAAAATCCTTCATATTTATAAATTATCATTCCAATGTTTGTCCAATTCTAAAATTTTCAATTTAATTTGACAAGTTCCCGTCTAAATATGAGTTTTCTCTTCCAACTACATCTATTTGTTCAAGATGGAATGAAAGTCTCGACGAGTTTATGAAATGTTTTAATTAGACTTTCATTCTACTAAAATAAATATCGTCTAATTTAGATTGGATTAACCTATTTATGACTGACGATCCTTACTTAGAATGACAGTTCAATTAAAATATTTCATGAACTCATCCAGACTTTCATTCTATCTCTAGCATGCAGTTCAAATAAGAAGGGATACCCCATTCTTGGAAGGAAAGTTTTCAAGTAAGACGAAAAATTTCAAAATTGGAATGACATTTTTTAAGATGAAAATGAAAATTTAGAATTTAGAATGTAATTTTACTCTAGAAATTTTTCTGTTGCCAGATACACTCACAGATGATGCCCCTTGTCACTCGGGCGATGTAGCCCCAACCTCTCTTTCCATTCAGGTTTGTGGGCAGAAAACCCAGCAGGACCCAGCGCTCATCCCACCTCAACTGCGCCCCCCCCAACTCTTTCCAATGATGTTCCCACCATTCCCACACTCGTTTGGATGCGGGGCATTCCCACCACAGGTGCCGAGTGGACTCAAACGGCCACCTACATCTTGAGCATCCTAGTTCAACCAATACCCCTCTGCTCTGCAACCAGACTGCGGAAGGGATTACCAGAAGAGACAACAACCAGAGAATGCTCACTTGCTTACCGTTCGGAAGGAGTTTCAACTCCTTCCACAGCCTTTCGAAGTTGGGCTCTGTTGGTGCAGAAGTTTCCCCCAACACCTTGGACCATCTTGATACTGCCATAGATGCTGGGGATCTGACAACTTTGTTTGCAAGTACATATCCTTCTCTTGTATTGTACTCGGACAGGAACAGCGGGCCAGCTGTTGTGCCGTTTGAATTTTGTCTGCTCCAACTCCATGCTAGAGGGTGAATGCGCAGTCGCCTGAGCGGGGAGCGGTCGATCCAGACTAGCGACTCCGCCTGACTGCCTGGTTCATGGCATTCTACGATCCGGGCCTGTGGGGGGTTCCTCCAACATTGGATTACCTCGTTCCCCACAAGACTCAGCCTGTTCCCTTCCCCCTCACATTGCCAGCTTTCCACCATTCGGAACCCACTGGGCAGAATCTCAGTAATCTTCTAAACGGTACCCCCCCTTTCCCGGTCCTCCGCCACATACCATGTGCCTATTGGGTCCACCCCTTCCGGGCCCAATATGTCTTTCCAGTCTTGCGGTATGGCCTCGAGCAATGTGAGTCAGTTTTCCTCTACACGCCTGAGTCCTTGCAGCCGGGTTTTCATTTCCGACAGCGGTTCCCAACTGCCTAACAAAGAGGACCACATGTCCCTTATCCTTGACACCCCTTTTTTCAACCAGGCGAGACCGAAAGTGGCCACTGAACCATTCGCAGGGAAGGTTTGCCCTCCCGGATTGCAGATGGCGTGGTTCTCGAACAACGGTTGGGCCAACACTTCTTCTTTCGTGCGCGGGGGGGTTGGCGTGTCAGGGGGCAGGCTTCTCCAGGCTCTCAGGATCGATTTCCAGAACAGCGACTTCGGTCTCTTTTTCTTGAAAGATTCCATAAAAAAGCAGACCCAGACGTCCCCGGGTCTGCTGAGCCCCCATTCTCTCATCAGCAGCCTCTCCGCCAGGAGGATCCAGTCTTCCTTAGACTCTGTTGTCGCCACTTTAACCAGCCAGGTTCTCAGCTGAGCCTGGTTCTTTCGTGCCGGGTCCCAGAGACCCAGCCCTCCCTGCGCTCGTGGGAAGGTGAGCAGCTCCCATGCCACCTTGGTTACAAAACCCTCTTCCTTCTTAGCACTTGGCTTCCAGAAGAAACGAGCCACTAAACGGCGTACCGTCGAGATGACCCCTGCTGCAATTTCACAAATTGCACAAACAAACCAGAGGATTGAAAAAAGGGCCACATTCGCCACTAGTGCCCGACCTATCAGGGATAAATGTCACGCAGAACCCCATAACTTCAGTCTGGCTGCGATTCTACTTTGGAGAAGTAGTCCCTGCGATGATGCTTCCACTTGCAGATTAACCAAGACTCCGAGGAATCTTTCTTCCTCACCCTCCTCGATCCTCCTCATTCCCCATTCTACGTTTAACTTAAACTGCGTCGGCAAAAAGTAGGAAGATGTGGATCAGTTTACTGAGGCTTCTGACAAGCACGCGTACTCCTGCATGACTGACTTCAGGGCTGAAAGAGTTGGTGCCGTGTTCTGGCATACTGCAAACAGATCATCGGCTAGGGCCTTGACCCTGCACTGCGTTGAGTCATTGAGGCTGATGCCCTTGATCAACGGGTGTTTTCTGATGCGGTTGAGGATTACTTCCATTTGGAGCACGAAAAGTAGAGGAGCGAGAGAACATCCTTGACGCAGGGACCTTGTCAGTTTAAAGGGGGCTGACAGCAGACCATTCACCATTATTGCCGAGGTGGAGAGAGTGTACAGAGCTATAACCCACTTGCAAAAACCACAGCCAAACCCCATGTGCTTCAGTGTGGTCATGACGAACGTCCATCCCACCTTGTCATAGATCGTTTCCAAGTCCAGCGGCAGTACCGCTGTATCCAAGTTCTCAGATTGTACCACCTCCAGGACCTCGATGGCGGTTGCGATGTTGTTGAAGATGGAGCGCCCTTGAACGAAAGCACCTTGGTCTTTCTCCACCAGCCCAGGTAGGTACCTCCCTAATCTCCTTGCTAATGTCTTGGCCAAGATTTTGTACGAGACATTGAGTAAGGAGATCGGGCGCCAGTTCCTCACCTCCGCTTTGTCCCCCTTCTTGAAGAGTACCGAGATAACACCGTGGGCCATCTTCTTACCCAGCCTGCCTCCCATCAGCACCTCGTTGTAGAGTTCCACCAGTGGTGGTCCTACCGCACCCCAGCATTTGGAGTAGAACTCCACCGTCAACCCATCGATACCGGGCGCCTTGCCTTTCGCCATGGACTTCAATGTTTGGGTGGTCTCCTCGAAGGTAAGAGGTCTGTCCAGATCTAGCTTTGCTGAAAGTGGGAGTCTCCCCTGCGTGTCCTCCCACAAGCTCGAGACCTCCGTCAGGTCGGTGTGTATGTTGTCTTGCGGCCGGCGGGTGGTGAGGATATCCTCGTAGTACAGTCTAGCGTAGTCGAGCATCCCTGTTGCCATGGAAGCCGTAGGCGCTGTTTCATCAAAGGGATGCCTGAGTTCCACCATCTGCTGCATTGAGCGTCGAGGTAGTAACTTTTGGAAAGTTTACTTGTTCATCTTGTCGTTGACTTCAATACCTTTCTCCTTCAGCAGGTCGGACCATCTTCGCTCCTTCTCTGATTGCAGGTCTTCCCATTCTGCCATCCTCTTCCCCCTCTCTGTTGCCCATACCAAGGCCGAAATAGGGCGCCCCTCCATCCTTTCTTCTGCCTCTTCTACTATTTTCTTACACTTCGCTTCCTTCCCGTTCCTTGTCTTTGCTAGAATTTTTGAGCAAACACTCAGCATGCTGGATACGATAGCGATGCCCCCATCCAACCAGTCCTCTGCAGATTGGAAGAGATCCTTGGCTCCATCCCATTCTTTCATGTGCTGATCTACCCATTCCACCAGACCTGGGTCCTCCAGGTTCTGTGCGTTAAGCTTGAAGAAACCCTTTCCCCGCTCTGAGCTTACACTTAACTTGATGTCTGCAATCACAGGTTTGTGATCCGACAGCGGGTTGCAGACCTCCTGCACTGCCGTGACTCCACTTAGGACTGATTCTGTGGTTAGGTAGTAGTCCAGTCTTCGCCTGGACACCGTCCCCCTTCTGCGATGCCCGTGGGACATCCAGGTGTAGCCTGGGTTCCCGGGATTCAGGATCCTGAATGGGTCCGCCAACTCGAGTTCTAATGCTAGCTCCAGGAGTGTCTGCACATCTTTCCTGCCTGCAGTTGCTGAGTCTGGCTTCAAGGCTTCGTCCAAGGATAGATTTCAGTCCCCTGCTATAATTAGGTCGTCTATCTTTGGAATGTGTGAGACAAGGCTGGCGAAGAACCTCGCGCGCTCCCCTGCCTCTGTAGGCGCGTAGACCGTCATGATTGCCCACTCTTCTCCCCCTGACTCCAATCTGATCCAGGCCCATCTACCCCAGATATCAGATTCTGAGTCAATCACCTTCATCTGCAGATCTCTGTGGATTAGTATTCCCACTCCCCCCCTGGTTCCCTGCGCGGGGGCCCAAACTTGAGGCCCATCCCACTAGTTTCCAGCTCGAGTAGTTTCTCTTCGTCCAACTTTGATTCTTGAATAAGTAGACAGTTGATCCTCCATTCGTGTACCCAACTTTTCAACCGTCTCCGTTTTTGTCTCCCACTTGTGTCTCCCAAGCCCAGGAGGTTCCAAGAGGCTATCTTGAGTCCATCCATTAGTCTGCTGTATGGCCGATTGCTGTTGGATGCGGTTGGGGTCGGCTTGTTCGACTTGCTGGTTGTCCGGATATGCAGACCTTTCTGGCGTCACTGCCTGTGGCATGGACCGGGACTGTATGCTACCTCTTGAGCTGCCACGGGAGGAGGTCGCCTGTGATCTCGTGGGCGAGTCCTTTGTCAGCATGGAGTACATGAATGCCGATTGCAGTCCTTCATCCGCCGACAGCTTCTCGCAGAGGTTGAGCAGGGTTAAGGCACTGATTTCGTGAAAAACTGTGATTTGCTCTAGTTCCGGAGTGTTCCGTTCCCTTACTGCGTCCATGTGGTACCAGCGGACCCCGAACCGGGTCAGCTAGTCAGCCGATTCCGGGGGGATCTGTGCATCCAATAAGGGGAAATAAAACTTGTAATACCCTTGAGAAGTTTCGTTACTCTGATCGGAATGTGTTCCCCGTATAGACTTCTTGTTTTCTGCAGTATCACACTGTGGGTTGGTGCTCTCTCCACCTCCTCCGATGGAATGTAAGGTCTCCCATCAGCGCTCCATAGTGCTATAAAGAAGGTGCCATCTCTTGCTTGCGTACATACTAACGGAACAATCCTCCGTCTAACCGTTTCTGCTTGGTCCCTGTGTATCAGATTCGACCTCTTGTTGCGGTCGACCTGTTGTCTCAGGGCTGCACCCCTCTCTTCTCTCTGCTGCAGTCTGGAGTGCGCCGAGCTCTCCATTGTGAGAATTCTTGGATCCGGGCCGTCTGTGGACCTACCGGCCCGACGGCCCAGATTCGGCCCCGAGCCTCGAACTTCGTCCCCGACCTTAAAGTTTTAAGATCGCGCGGCGATCCAGTCAGTTCGGGTTTACCGGCCCGACGGCCCAGATCGCCCTGCGATCTTAAAACTTTAAGATCGCGGGCCAATCCGGGCCGTCGGACCATGAACGGCCCGGATAGCCGCGTGCTGCTTGGGGAACCGGTAGGGCCTTTCAGACCGTTGGTGCGCGGAAAAGCGTTGCAGACCGGTGCTACCCGCCCGCCCAACTACTCTAGGTACGCGACGTGCTACGCTACTACTCGACAAGCTACTCCACGCCCTACGCGCCCTATGCGACCTTGCGACGAACATCTTGCTGCGTGCTCCCTACACCCTCTCTCTCTCTCTCTCTCTCTCTCTCCCTCTCTCTCTCTCTCTCTCCCTCTCTGTCTTTCTCTCTGTGCGGGCTGTTTGTTCAAAGGCGCAAAGGCTTGGTGAAGTGCACTTGGACGTGCTTGATTTTGTGCGGGAAGGCGGTGGACGCGACTGGGCGATGGGTGACTCAGGTGAGTGGGTTATTCCTTATCCCAGAGAGAGAGAGAGAGAGAGAGAGAGAGAGAGAGAGAGAGAGAGAGAGAGAGAGAGAGCGATCGCGGCCTGCGCCATCGCCTCTGGCCTCGGCCTCCGCCCACCTCCGTTCGGCCAACACCCACCTCCGCTCGGCCTCCGCCCACCTTCGCCCACCTCGGACCACCTCCCCTCCGTCTCCGCCCACCTCCGTCGCTTATCCCCTCTGTGTGTGTGTGGTTGAGTGGTTGAGTGTGTGTGTGTGTGTGTGTGTGTGTGTGTGTG